CTTTTCTTTTCTTTTCTTTTCTTTTCTTTTCTTTTCTTTTCTTTTCTCTTTTCTCTTTCTTTCTCTTTCAGACTCTTTCCTTTTTCTTTCCTTCCTTCTTTCTTTTCTCTTTCTTTTTCTTCCTTCCTCTTTCTTTCTTTCTTTCTTTCTTTCTTTCTTTCTTTCTTTCTTTCTTTCTTTCTTCTTTTTCTTCCTATTTATTTTTGAGAGTGAGAGGGTGCAAGCGATTGAGGGGCACAGAGACAGAGAGAATCCCATGAGGGACAGAGAGAGAGAGAGGGAGGCGGGCTCACCTGGGGCTTGTGTTTTACCCAAAGCTAGGTTTGTGCTCACCCGAAGTGGGATTCCAACTCACAAAACTGTGAGGTCATTACCTGAACTGAAGTTGGACACTCAACCAACTGAGCCCCCCAGGCGCCTCCTGATCCTTTTTCTACAGGAACTTCTCAGTCAGCTGAACCTCCCCTTCATAAATCCCTCCTGACTGTATGTTTCACTGCCACCGTGCTAATGTCTCGCTGGCATGATTTTACTCGGGATAATTTGGAACTTTGGTAGCTTCCCCGGACTGACTAATCTAAGACCTCTCCCTTCACATCACTTCCATTCCTCCTTCCTCTTTGTACCACTTTTGATCTTCCCTTAGCTCCCTTGAATCCTTTCATGTATCCTCCTTTAAGTCCCCTGCCTCCTTCATCCTTCTGTCCACCTTGACAGACTTTTCCTTTCCTGTTCCAGCCCCTCAGTTCCCACAGTCACTTGAACTTGAGGCCCCCTGTCCCCAGTCAGGGGCTCTCAAGGAATTTAAGGACTCCCAGAAGCAACTACATATCAGGGCAAAAGAAAATCTTAATAAAAGTTTCCTCCACAGATATTGGTGGAAAGCCTTAGCCCTCATATTAAACAGGTAACCTTAGGGGTGACTGGGTGGCTCAGTAGGTTAAGTGTCTGACTCTTGATTTCTGCTCAGGTCACGATCTCATGGTTCGTGAGTTCAAGCCCAGCATTGGCTCTGTGCTTGGGATTCTCTCTCTCCCTCTGTTTCCGCCCCTCCTCTCTCTCTCAAAACAAATAAGTAAACATTATTCTCTCTCTCTCTCTCAAAATAAATAAGTAAACATTAAAAAGAAGTTTTTAAGGGGCGCCTGGGTGGCTCAGTAGGTTGAATGGCCGACTTTGGCTCATGTCATGATTGCATGGTTTGAGCCCTGCATCGGGCTCTTTGAAGACACCTCAGAGCCTGGAGCCTGCTTCAGATTCTGTCTCCCTCTCGCTTTGCCCCTCTCCTGCTTAAGCTCCATCTCTCTCTCTCTCTCTCAAAAATAAATAAACATATAAAAATTTTAATAAAATTTTTTTTAAATAAACAGGTAACCTAGGGCAATAGGGAATGATTTCCCTATTTCCAGATTGAATTAATTTCCTGAGTGCCCAGGGCTTCAACTTTTCCCCGTATCCTGGAGAAATCACGTTCTCTATGTCCTAAATTTTATGTCATGAGAAAATGCTCACCTGATAACATGTTTGCAGCTGATTATATTTTGGGGTCCATGAATTTTTAAAAATGTTTGTATTTATTTTGAGAGAAAGAGAGAGAGAGAGAGCAAGTGAGCAAGCTGGGGAGGGGCACAGGGAGGGGGAGAGAATCCCAAGAGACTCCTAGCTGTCAATGCAGAGCCCTAAGTGGGGCTTGAACCCAAGAACCATGAGATCATGACCTGAGCTGAAATTGAGAGTTGGAAGCTGAACCAACTAAGCCTCCCAGATGCCCTAGGGAACATGAATTTTTTTAAATAAAATTTCTACACAAATGATTATTTGTTCTTTAAAAATCAGGTAATGGGGCACCTGGGTGGCTCAGTTGGTTAAGCTTCGACTCTTGATTTCAGCTCAGGTCATGATTTTAGGTTCAAGCCCCACTTGGGCTCTATGCTGACAGCAAGGAGTCTGCTTGGGATTCTCTCTCTCTCTCTCTCTCTCTCTCTCTCTCTCTGCCCCTCCCCATCTCTCTCTCTCAAAATAAGTACACTTAAATTAAAAAAGATAAAACTATTTAAAGCTTTAAAACACCTATGCAGAGAATTCATTCTAGAAGAAAATGTGTATTCTAGTTCCAAGATATGGATTCTTACAGTTCTCTGGAAGTCTGATTACATGAACCGCCTTCTCCCTCTGATTTTGTTTTATCTTTAATTACAGCCTCCAACACCCTCTTCATCATTCATTCATTAACAAACATGGCAGAATTAATTATTATTTGATCAATAATTATAATTATTTTAATAAGCATATTGCAAGTGATTAAGTAACTAATAATATGATTAAAGTTAATGAAAAATAATTATCTGTAATAATTATAAGCAACCGCTTAGTAATTAATAATGAAATAAAAAATTAATTTTTGCCTTCTTTATTCAGGATTCTCTAAAAGGTCTCCCAATAGATATTACTGCTTTGCCAGTTGGCCTTATTTTCTTGGCAACCCATGAAACTAGACTTTTAACTCCGGAAACATTTATCAGACTTGAGAGACACAATGCAGACACACAGAATGAACGTCTCAGGAGGCTGTGCATGCCCGCTTGGCACGTATGTAATCATTATAAATCATCTCACAGAAATTTCCATGCATTCTCAGTACTAGTTAATAACGAACTTTATATGAGAATTTACAATGGAGTTTTTTGCTGGTGTTAGGTCATTTGAGCCTCACACGGGATAGGGAGAGCAGACAGGTGAGGAAAGTGAGCTGTAGAGAATTTAAATTGCAGAGGAGATTGAACTCCAATCTTCACCCCGTAAATCCCACATGTTTCCTGCTATTCTGAGGAGTCCGTTTCTATCGCACTGGAGACTATGGCTTCAAGAAGGAGCAGGGCACAGGGCTTTGCCACACGTCGCTGAATTAGCTGACGAAAGTTCTTCAGGGCGAAGAAGCCAATAGCACACTC